GAAGGCACAACTCGTCCACGTTGTTGGCGCGGGACCCTCAAAAAGGGGTGAGCCCCTGCAGTGTTAAACAGGGTCCGATAGGCTTGTAAATTGCAAAAATCTCGACAACCAAATTTTGTTAAGACGCTGCTTTTGAATGCGGCGCGAACAGCTAGCACTGCGAGCGCGCAATTCAGCCGGCGGTCCGGCCCGATCCGATTGGAGCAGACTGCAATCGTCGCCTCATCCCGACGGAGATGTAGTCACATACGAGCCTCAGACCTTGACCAGAATAAAGCTACAGAAGACAAAACTTTGGAAATAACAATTTGTCATGATTTCCGTTATATTTTCATACTTAGCTGGCCTCATGGATGGACGCCTATCCCAGTGCACACCCTGCCGAAGGCCGAGGATCATGTAAGATAGCAATGAATTATGCATCAATTTACTCTAAAATGCTAATTATTAGGTGGGTAACGTGTTTGCCCCTTGTCCACGTGCAGATCAGCTGGGTGAAGAACTGCGAAGCAGTGCAGAATATCGCAAGTTGGAGGAAGATAACGAAGTAGGAAAGAACAAGGCATTGTTCGCAAAAACTCATAGTAGTTTTACCGTTTTCCAGGATTTTCTCGAATTTCTTTCGGAGAAAACGGGAATGAAGGTCACTTTGAGCAACATTTACTTCATTTATGATGCCCATCACGTAGAAGTGAGTTTGCTACCGACTCTGTATCTCGTCAAAAAAGGGGTTGGTATAACAGTAAATGAATATATTATAATGTTTTTAGATTCAAATAGCAAAGTTAAACTGAAGAATATGGCGACTAAATTGGTGTGCTTGTAGAGAATATATGGAATGAGCCAACCAGATTGGTTGACAGACGACGTTTCTCGCCGCCTGCGCAGTCTTTCTAGGACGTCCAGTGAGTACGACTACGGCATTGCTCAACCATACTTACCGGAACTTATTCGGTTGCGAGGAGGTCAGCTGTTTGTACATTTCTGATTGCAAATCAAAGATTAAATCAATACCTGAAAAGCGGAGATTGGTACTTATTTATCATCTTCAAAAGCGCATGGCTCATATAGGGTGTTTGAAAAGTTTCTGACCTCAAGTACCATTGTGAATTCTACTCGCATTCGCTCGTTATTCACTGAACATAGAGACAGTTGGATCAACAAGGAAAAAACTTCTGCTCGAAGATACTTCAAAAATTCTGGAGCTAACTCGGTATAGTGCGCTAATTGATTTGTTCTACTTTTTTCTACGTTTTCTTCATCCTTGTAAGTGCGGTTCATAATTATACGAACACCCAATATTTCGCCGTTTCC